GTAAATAGTAATGATGTATATACATATATATTACAACTGAAATGTGACTGTATTTTACAAAATACTAGTCCAACTAAAACACAGCCGAGACAGATCACTTTGTAAAGGTCAGTTTTATATTCTTGGATACGGCAACATGAGTGAACGTGCACCTTGTCATTGCAACTTCTGTACTGTTAGCCAGGCACAGCTGAAAAGTCAATATAATAAAATATAAAAATATATTGATGTATAATGTTATGAAATTTAAGCTATTTAGACTAAACATTTGTGTTTGCGTGTTATAATTTGTAGTTATTTTAGCAACAAAAAAAAGCACAATTTATATTTATTTCCTTTTTTTTTATTCAGGTTACAGTCTGTCAAATCGAACAAACCCGTACAGAGATACAGCAGTGAAAATAAAAGATAAAATATAAATTTTTGTTTTTCTAAAACAAAATTTATAATTATCTGGAGGTTTTAAAGATTTCACATGTGAAATTAGAAAACATTCTAATGCATAAAAGTATTTTTAATCTTAAAATCAAAATTACTTTGCATGTTGGATAGTTAACGTTCTGAAAGAAAAAATTTTACAAGAAAATCTTTAATTAAAAAATCTTAATACTTAATTTAAAAACCTGTTATTTTGTGCAAGAAAGCTAGGTAATGTTTTCCAATAACCTGCAAAAAAAGATATGCATACATTTTAAAAATCATAGCATAATTACTCTCATAGATACTTTCATGGTTACAAGTTGGGTGGATTCCACTCAGCCCATAATGGAAGGGTTAACAGGTAGTATTGTAAATGATTTTTTATTTTCAGTTTCCACTACAATACTTTTTCCATCAGTCACAATTTAACACAGTTTGTTGTGCTTGTATGGCAACCTTTCCATTTTAGTTATCACCTTAATAGCCCTCCTTTCAACCCTTTCCAACAATTCAGTCTAAAATCATATTTATCCTACCACCAGAAACAGCACACTCCTTGGATGGCTAAAGAATCTGATAAACAAAACACCAATATCCTTCATTTTATTGAAGTTTACAAAATTATCTGGAAGATCAATAGGACAAAGGCATCTGATTTTTATGTGCTATAGCCTGATGATAGTAAAACAAGAGAACATATGTTTAAGATATGGTAAAGACAGTCTAGGTTCCGGTTAAGATTTATTTTTATAACAGGGAGATTGTCTTATGGGTCAGATGCCATCAGCAACAATAGACACTAGCAGTTAAAAAATGTTAAAGGGAAATTACTAATCCCCCCCCCCCAAAAAAAAGGGCGGGTTTAATTTCCTAATTATTTTTAAGGGTGGGTGTGTAGAGACAGCCTTGAATAGAATGACCACTCATCCTGATTTAAGCAGGACTGTCCTGTTTTCAGAGAATTTTAGAATATGTCCCACATAAAATTAAATTGTCCCACCTGGCAAAAAGTTTAGCATATCGCTGTACCAGAACTTGTTTTTAATTTGTAAACAAGTGAAAGCCAGCCTACTTTTGGCAAAACCACTGATCTATCACCAGAATTTGAAAAGGGGTGACAGCATCCCCAATGACCAAAATGGATAATAATTTGAATTAGTAGTAAATGCTAGTGGAGCCTTGTACAAATGTATTTTGTCATCTCAGTGTTATTTTATGAAGTTATGAAAAATATATACCCACATGGTGTCTTGTAGTGTCTTTGTTACCTAACATCTTTTAGCCCACTGTGAGAAAAGCTTATGTCTTCATTTGATATGTCACTGTGAAACTTTTACACATTTCCACTTTCAAGCCTTACACTAGTTTACTCTCCCACAATTTTATATACTTGCACAATCTTTTATCTTCTTGGAATTTGACCTGACAATGTTTATGTCAGATAGTACACAGAAGAGGATTAGACATTTTACTTGTCAGAGTAAGTACAACAGAATAAACAAGAAAACTTAAATAAATGTGAAGCTTAATCTGTCATTAAATTTATCACTTGTCACCGAGTTAAACCAGTTTCAGGGAATTCTACTCCTCATCTGTAGCCCTAGACAAGTGCAAACTGAAAGAATAAGACTAAATTTCATATAGTGGTGGAGATTATATGCACAGTTGTTTGAGTAGTTAAAAAATGCCTTACTAGAAAGCACTAGGAGGAATAGCACTTTAGCTTAGTTGGTAAAGCATGTGCCTAACATGTGACAGATCTCAGGTTCAAATCTGAGCCAAGGAAATATACAGTGATGAAAATTGAAAATATCACATGTATGATGTTTTCAAATGTCTTTTACAAATACCATATTCTTTCAATTTGTTCTTGTCCACAGATACTAATTACCCAAATTGGTATAACTCAGTGACAAGTGGTAAACCAAATCAAGACTGGGCTTCACATTTATTTTTTAATATTCCAAACACCTTGTCTGGCTGAATAATTCACAAGAATAAGTTAGTAGCATTAATGCAGCACATTCTTGAAATTCCAATGTAAGTACAGGATTACTTTATGAGTAAAATACATTTCAAAATACCATACAACAATAAAACAAGATATTATATCAGGTTGTGGCAGCAGAAACAGCACTTATCATAAAGCCATTAACCACAGAACTATCAATAGGTCAATTGTTTAAATGATCTCTTTGGCAAAGTAAGTGTTAAAAGCAGTAAAACACTACCAAAAATATTAGTGCATCACATAAAGGCTGAAAGCATAATTTTAAGTGTACTTTCATCATATAGTGTTGATAAAACTGTGAGATAAGCTAAAGTAGCAAAATTGTTTGTTTTCACAACATATGCTTCAAACAATGGAACACAGGAAATGTTTCCTCTATACATAGAATACTTTAATACCAGTGGTGTCATTAAAACAAAGCTGCTGGATTTCTCTAAGATCCTAACAACACCTTGTAAAGCATGCATGATAAAATTAAACAAGAACTGAATGCATTGGATATAACATGGAATATGCATATTTTTTGGCAGTGACAATACCAATGAATATAAGTTGTATTTTAAACCGAAGTCAGACAATCCAGGCTTAATACATGCTAACTATCCTGCACATATCCAATACCACAAATGCTTTAAAGGATATGGATTCTGATGAAGAACCACTTGTACTTAGAATCTATACTATTATTCTGCTTGTTTGTATGTATGACCATTATGCTTCGTGACTGAGAACCTGCTGCATAAGCATGCATAGATAGAACAT